TCCGGAAAAAGGGGGGGCGCCCCAGTCCGCGTGTGCGGGGCGCCCTCCTCAGGGAGGGTCGCGTGGTCAGTGTTTCCCGCGGGAAACCGAGGCTCAGCCAGGCGCCGGGCCGCGGGGGCGTGTGCGCGGTCCGACGTGGGTCTGTCCGGGGGCCTCCCGCCCTCGCAGGGTCTCGGGCTGCGCTTGGCTCTGCGTGTCCGAAACGGTAGCCTTTTGTGGGGGTAAAGGCGTGCGGGTCTGGGCTGTGTGGCCCCTGGAAAGCAGCAAGTTATTCTTAGCGACTCCTTTCCCGGATTTGTTCCTAATTTTACGTCGCTGAAAAGTCAGGACCTAAATTTGAGGTACCACATTTTGAGATTTTTTTGGCCCATGTCTACTGTCAGGATCCGATTACACTATTTCAGGGTGTTAGACCTTGTTGCAGTAGCTCAACTGCCCTTTCCACAGGTACCCCACATTTTTAATACCGAACTTTAAAGCAGACAGTAAGTTTTAAATATAAGAATACTCGTTTTCGCCAAACCGGTTTGGCTCAGTGGATAGAGCGTCGGCCTGCGGACTCAAGGGTCCCAGGTTCGATTCCGGTCAAGGGCATGTACCTTGGTTGCGGGCACATCCCCAGTGGGAGGTGTGCAGGAGGCAGCTGGTCGATGTTTCTCTCTCATCGATGTTTCTGGCTCTCTATCCCTCTCCCTTCCTCTCTGTAAAAAATCAATAAAAATATATTTAAAAAAAAAAAAAAAAAAAAAAGAATACTCGTTTTATGAAACCTGGGGCTTGAATTGTGCTGTATAATTCGTTTTTATTTTTTATTGTTTTAAAAATATTTTTTATTGAATTTTAGAGAGAAAGGAAGGGAGAGAAAAACATCCATGTGAGTGGAAAAACAGTTGATCGGTTGCCTTGTGCACACGCCCGGACCAGGGATCGAACCTGCAACCTGGGCACGTGCCCTGACCGGGATTGGAACTGGCAATTTTTCGGTGCACGGGATGCAGCCCAACCCAGTGAGCTACACCAGCCAGGGCTATATAATCACTTTTTAAAATGTTATCCAGAATAGACTCGGATGTTAGTGAAATGCCATTAATATTATTTATTGATCACCTATTTTTATTTTACATTGCCATGATTACAACATGACCAGTCTTCAGAAAGTAGTATTTTTTAAAAATATTCATTTCAGAGAGGAAGGGAGAAGGAGAGAGAGAGAGAGAGAGAGACATCAATGAAGAGAGAATCATTGATCTGCTGCCTCCCACAGGCTCCACACTGGGGTTTGAGCTGCAACCTGGGCATGTGCCCCGGGCTGGAATCGAACTGTGAGCCATGCTGGCCGGGTCAGAAAGGAGTATTTTAAGTGGATATCAGATAACCTGGGCTTTATATAAAACATTTTCCAAGAGGCAAATTTGACTTCTATAATTCATTAAGATGACTTAAACTAAATTAGCAGACTTATTCTTGCTTGTTCATTTGCATCTTAAATTTTTGTTTTCACCTTTTTACATTGTTTTAATATGCTGAACAAGTGGATATAAACTATGTCCTTAAACTGAAGTTTTCTATATGCCGCCAAAGTCATATTAAAGGATAGACTTTAATATAGGGCTTGGCAGTTTGTAGGAATTTTTAGGTATTTGTGTTCTGGCCACCAACTTCTCATTGTGCATAATTTGTGATAATTCTCAGCCACTTTTAAATATAGAAAAGGCATAATTTAAATAAATGAATTCTTTAAACATTTTAGGGAATATGCCATTTTTGATTTATCATTGGGTTTTTTTAGTAGCATACATGTCTGTGACTAATACAATTACCTTTTTTTTACCCAGTGATATTTTTCCTGTTTTTAAAAAATTCTAGTGTAAGTTACCATCTATATTAAAGAGCAGTAATTTTAATAAAAATGCACATTTATGAAATTCATATGTCCTACTATTTGCTGACATAATTTACCAATTAGAACAAAACTTTCTCATGGAGTGGATTAGGAAAGTAGGACTTGTAGAATGAGCTTGTTATTAAGTGACTGAAAATGAATTTCAAGTTACTGTCCCCATCAGTTTACTTTGATCTTTTGAAAAAAGGACATTTGTCACCAGTATTTTGGTTCAGTTTTTTAGTGTTGCTCTCTTGTCTAGCTCATAACTATGTTTTATTCTTGATATTACAAGAATAAAATTAATATGAAGCTAACTTAATAGAAGGTAATATCAATTTGCCATGACTGCATATGACCTATAAGTGAAGATACTGCCAATTATTATGAAATACATCATATGTATCTTGGGCTTAGCATGTTTTAGGACATACCATTGTTTTCTTGATTTGTTGTGGGAGGGAATAATATACTTGCTTTGGTAGTCCAGGCCTCATCCAGTCTTTTATCTTTGTTTTTAGTTTCTTTTGGACAGATGCATACCAGTTTTCCTCTTTAAGGTCCAAAGTTAACCCACTAACTAATTAATTATATAGTAGGCAAAGAGTTTAACAGGGACAAATTATAGATTATATTCCATTGACTTTCTTTTTTTAACATATTTATATTGACTTACAATGATTATTGTATAATATATATAATTTTTATTTTTAAATATGTATATATATATTTTTTGTCAAAGGAATAAGTCCCCCTGTCAGTGGAGGATGGGATACTTCAACCTGGGGAATAAAATCAAACGCAGAGCCTCAGAGTCAACCAGCAGCCTCTCCTAAAGCAATTACAAAGCCAGTTCGGAGAACGGTGGTAGATGAATCTGAAAATTTCTTCAGTGCCTTTCTCTCGCCAGCGGATGTCCAGACCATTCAGAAGAGTCCAGTGGTATCCAAACCGCCGGCTAAATCACAGAGACCAGAAGAAGAAGTGAAAAGCACCTTACAGGAGACTGTGCACACTGGAGGGTCAAGAACTCCTGAAACAACTGAGTCAAAAGGGACTGACTCTTTTCCCTGTGTATCCCCAGGGGAAAATCGGACAGTAGCCACTCTGTCACCTAAAACTGAGGGCGAGCATGGAGAAACCGTTAATAAAGATTCTGATATGAAGGTGTCAACCCTAAGTTCGAAGGTATCTGAGAGTGTAATTAATGTGAAAACAACGAGGGAAAGTGTGTCTAACATGTCTACGCAGTCTCCCACAGCAGAAACAAAGGACATAGCTTCAGAAGCAAAGGAACAGAAACACGAAGACAGACAGAGCAATACACCTTCTCCTCCCGTTAGTACCTTCTCCTCAGGTACTTCTACTACCAGTGATATTGAAGTTTTAGATCATGAAAGTGTAATAAGTGAGAGCTCAGCAAGTTCGAGACAAGAGACTACAGATTCAAAATCAAGTCTTCACTTGATGCAGACATCTTTTCAGCTTCTTTCAGCATCTGCTTGTCCCGAGTATAATCGTTTAGACGACTTCCCCAAACTCACTGAGAGCTGCTGCTCATCTGATGCTTTTGAAAGAATAGACTCGTTTAGTGTACAGTCATTAGATAGCCGAAGTGTAAGTGAAATCAATTCAGATGACGAATTGTCAGGCAAGGGTTATGCTTTAGTGCCTATTATAGTTAATCCTTCAACCCCAAAGACTAAAGTAGTTGAACCTGTTGAAGGAAAATCTGAGGAAGAAGTAAATGAAACAGTTATACCCACTGAGGAAACAGAAATGGAAGAAAGTGGACGGAGTGCAACTCCTGTGAACTGTGAACAGCCTGATATCTTGGTTTCTTCTCCGCCAATAAATGAAGGACACACTGTCTTAGACAAGGTGGCTGAGCAGTGCGAAGCTGCAGGAAGTCAGCCAGAAGCACTTTCTGAGGAGGAGGACATTTGCAAGGTAACTCTAGAAAGTGCAAGAGGGTTTTTGGATACTCTTCAGAGATTAAATCATGTGTTTATTTTATTTATTTATTTAATATATTTTTATTGACTTCAGAGAGGAAAAGAGAGAGAGATAGAAACATCAATGATGAAAGAGAATCATTGATTGGCTGTCTCCTGTACAAACAACACTAGGGATCGAGCCCGCAACCCAGCATGTGCCCTGACCAGGAATTGAACCATGACCTCCTGGTTCATAGGTCGGCGCTCAACCACTGAGGTACGCCAGCCAGGCCGCATGTGGCATCTTTGATAGCCTCCTCTGAGAAATATAGGATGTTTGAAGAACTGCCCTGTAAATGCCATGTGCTGAATTACTTATGTAAAAAAGTGCCAGCCTCTCTTACCTGGGTCTAATATTCACAAATGAAATGCCTTGCTGCTGTTTTACTAGCAGTTTGAATTCCTAGAAAACAATACTATTTATTTCAATAAGATATTTTTGAACTATTTTAAGAAGATAAGTGATTCCTAGATTAATCTAGACTTAAATCAAGTAAGTTAATTTTTTTTAGTACAAAAGGCACCATTTTTTCCCCTTCATAAGTGTATCACTGCTCCAGCAGGATCTAATAACCATTTCTTTTTGCTTAGCTTTTTTTATTCCAATATATTCTGGAGATTTTAAAATTGCATGCCTATGGATTTTCTAAAGTTACTTTTTAAATGTAGTGTATTATATTTAAAAGGTTACATGTTATATGTTTGGATTAAAGAATAATATGGAAAAACATACACTTGTATACTCACTGCCCTGCTAAGATACAGAACATTATTAGAGGCTTTGAAGCCCTTCTTTTATTTATTTACTAGAGGCCTGGTGCATGAATTTGTGCTCCAGTGGGGTCCCTCGGCTTGGCCTGCGGGATCGGGCTGAAACCGTCTCTCTGACATGCCCGAGGGGTCCTGGATTGCGAGAGGGAGCAGGCCAGGCTGAGGGACCCCACCAGTGCACAGTCGGGGCCGGGGAGGGACGTGGAAAGTTGGCCAGCTGGGGAAGGACCGCGGGAGGACTCCAGGGCGTGTCTGGCCCATCTTGCTCAGTCCCTATCGGCCGGACCCCAGCAGCAAGCTAATCTGCCCCCTGGTGGTCAGTGCATGTCATAGTGAGCGGTTGAGCAGCCTTAGCATATCATTAGCATATCATGCTTTGATTGGTTGAACGGAGGACCAGACACTTAGCATATTAGGCTTTTATTATATAGGATTTTTTTTATCACATCTCTCTCTCTTCCTCTCTTGGTGAAATATGCACACTCTTCCCAAGTTTTGCTGTTACTAACTACTGTAGGTATTCTTGTATAACACATGCAGCAAGTTTCTCCTCTAAGGTAGACCTAAAAGTAGAATTTTCTGCATCTTTAGTTAGATATTGCCTGATAGTTTTTCAAAGTGGTTTACTAATTTATACTCCCACCTGCTAAGTGCTTGTACTACTTTATACTCTCCTACAAGCTGTGTATGAATTCTTGTGCTGTATTTATTTTGTTCTCAATATTTAATCCTTTTTATGAGATAATGCTGTTTTATTGATTATAGTGGTTAGTTACTTTTCAGCTCGTCACTGCATGTTGAATGTTTGACTTTTGTCATGCTCCTTATCTAGAAAGTTGCATTTCTGAACGAGAAACTGGACAAAAGGGAGGCTCAGTTATTATCTCTTAGTAAAGAAAAAGCACTTCTAGAAGAAGCTTATGATAATCTGAAAGAGTAAGTATTTTACAAATGTGAGTCATTTTTTACATTTCATAGAAGCCCATACACTTGGATATTACTTAAGAAAATGATTTATAATTTAACTTGTTTATAATTATTTAAATTAAAATGGTTTATAATTTAACTTGTTTATAATTATTAAAATTTGAATAGCATTTCAATTCTAACTTTACAGATTACTTTTCTCCTCACATTATCTTGACCATATTACCTTTGGCATTGAAGAGAGGTATTTTGCAAAAAAAACCCAAACCAACCTTTTTTCCCTTATTATTAATAATATTTTAGTATTAGAGATTTAAAACAGTGATATTTTAGTTTTTAAAAAAATACTGAGTATTGACTTGCTTTATGAAGGTGATTGGTAAAATGTGACATAAGATTCAAAATGTTAGAAACATCGATGAGAGAGAAACATCGATCAGCTGCCTCCTGCACTTTCAGTTATTAATGGGTTTTCTTTCAGGTGTTTTAAAATAAATTAAGCGGGTAATTTTTCTCTGAAAAGTTGACAGGACTAAAACTAATCTACTTTATTGAGCAAACCGGTTTCGCGATATTTTAGTTTTTAAAAAAATACCGAGTATTGACTTGCTTTATGAAGGTGATTGGTAAAATGTGACACAAGATTCAAAATGAAAAATTTCATTTACTTTTATCTTATTTTTACATATCAAACATTGTTGACATTTTCAGTTATTAATGGGTTTTCTTTCAGGTGTTTTAAAATAAATTAAGCGGGTAATTTTTCTCTGAAAAGTTGACAGGACTAAAACTAATCTACTTTATTATAGCATGTGTTGAAGACAATGTCATTTTCCTTTTGCAAACTGAACTCATTTTGTTAACTTCGGAATATTTAAACAAGTATCATCAGTCTCCGTATTATTTTAAATTTAGTGAAATGTTCAGAGTGAAAGAAGAAAGCAGCAGCATTTCTTCCTTGAAAGATGAGTTTGCTCAAAGAATTGCAGAAGCAGAAAAGAAAGTTCAGCTAGCCTGCAAAGAGAGAGATGCTGCTAAAAAGGTAATGGAAGTTTAAAATAATATTAATTAAACTCTATAGGGACATAGATTTTTGAGCAGTGCCTTCATTGTATTGTGGTATTGGAAAAAAGAGATAAAAGTAAAGGGATACTATAGAATATTAACACTTAATTTGTAAATTTTTCAATACCTTTAAAATGATAAATTTTGATACTTTAAAAAATTCTAAGCAAATACTTGTCTGTGTAATTTATAAGTCCTTGCAAAATATATAGCAAGGATCACTAGACTAATTTTTGTAAATGATAATTTCATCAAAGTAAATACTACAAGTCTAAATGATCCCTCTAAATAAAATTTATCATTACTCTGGTTTGTTAATTTTCTACCACTTCAAACATACATACTTCTTTAAGTCAAAGTAATTTTAAAATATATTAACTCTTGGGGGGCATAACATTTATTTATCCTAATGTAGGATTTCTCAACCTAGCCCTGTTGACATTTTGTGGTATGTAATTTTATGTTGTATAGAGCTGTCCTGTGCATGGTAGGGTGCTGACCAGCATCCCAGGCCCTACATACCAGATGACAGTATCACTCTTCCCTGTTGCCATCTTGCTGTTCCCCTCAGCTGCGCTAATTGAAAATGTTAGCAGACATTGCCAAATGTTCCCCTTGGAGTCAAATCACTCCTAGTTGGGGACCATTGTTCTGAGTCTTATCATTTGGAACAGTTGGTTATTTCAGAAATTGGTAACCAACTAAGGTTAGTCATTATTGCTTGTATGCAACTGTGAGTAATGACATTTCTTAGCATTTGCCATTCTCAGTTAGGTTGCCTTTCCCCTTCTTGACCACTGTTAATGTTAATATAATTTTTCTGCATATACTCTTACAGAAAAGAAATATGTCATATACCTCCATTTGCTTTGTTGTTTTAACTAGTACATTTCAGACACAATAATAACCTGAGACTACCTAACCAAGTTACCTCTTCTTGTCCCTACTGTATTTCATCTGGTCCATTTAATCCAGAAATTGGATTTTAAGTAATATTTGTTTCCTATAGTGCACTTTGAATTATAGATCTAAAATAGATTGAAACCATTAACTGTAAAGGAAAAAACTTAGGCCCTAAATTTTAACACACTTTTATATGTATTGCCATGTATGACCTGCTTAAGAGGCATAGGCCATTCATTCAAAGGTAAATTGAATTACCTTAAGTGACAAATTTGCTTTTCTAGTGATAGAAGACAATGTCAACAACTGTAAAGTACTAGGCAGAATTAAATAAGTTATACAGATGAATAAGCAGTTTGGAATGGTATTAGAGAGGATGAATTCTGACCAGGGTAATTGAGGAAGGTTTCACAGAAGACATGACGTTCTTACTGGACCTTGATGTGTGAATCAAAATTTTGACAATTGGAAATGGATAGCAATGTTATGGGTGGTTCAGAGCATGGGCTTTGGGGTTCCACAGACCTGGTTTCAAGTCTTAACTCTACCAATTTAATAGCTTTCTGACCTTGAAAGTTTACTCAATCTTTCTGAGTCTTAGTTTTCTTGTTTGTGTAGTTGAATCATACAGTAGTTGCCTCCCTCATAGGATTGCTGTCAGGATTAAAAGATAATGGATACAAAGTATGCTTTATATACCTAATAAATGTTAGTTGTTTTTAGCTATTTTTAATTCCAGAGCATCTCTTAAAACCAAATTTTAAATTATAGAAGACTTTCCATCTCATCGCATTTCTCCATTGTAGCTTTTAAAGATAAACAATCTTGACATATTTCTGCTGAATCTCTGCTTTATTAAAGTAGATCAAACTTTATATAATCATGGTTTTCCTTTCATTTCACAACACGCTAGTAGTGTGAGTGAGTTTTAATAAGGAAAAGAAATACAGTGAGAAATGGAGACATGTGCTGTTTGAAATGTTGTTCCAATTATAATGCTTGTAGAAATTGTAGGTAGAGGAACTCAAGAAGAGTATTGAAATTTAACTTATCCTAATTTCCATTTGCATATTAAAACCTGTTTATATCTGAATTCAGGTTTTCTATATCATTTTCAAAGCTGTTTTCTTAGTCTTAATTAACCAAGGTAATAAATTCAGGGTAACAGAACAAAACTTACGAATTCTTATTAAGAATGTGATTATTGATGACTTTTGGGAATATGGAAGATAATTGAAAAATATGCCCAGAAGGAAAGTAATTTTATGGTATTTACATTTTTTTTTAAATTAGGAAATCAAAACTATGAAAGAAGAACTTGCGACTAGATTAAATTGTAGTGAAACTTCAGACCTTTTGAAAGAGAAAGATGAGCAGATCCGAGGATTATTGGAAGAAGGTGCGTATTTAATTGATTATGAAAAATCTGGTAAAGATAGGAAAAATACTTGCCACATAACTAGCTGCTGCTTCCTAATAAAAAAACATTGGAAGCAAGTAAGGTTTGCACTTAAATCTCAGAAATGGTAGGTTATAATTTATGGAAGAATGAGGAGCAACATGTACAGAGGCAGATATACACATAATGTAGCTTTTTTTTTCTAGAGCGGGAAATTAATAATTCTCTGAAAAATAGAAGTTTGTGCTTCCTGAAGCAAGCTTGTAACAGGTCTTACAGCCTGTCATTTATTTATTTATTTTTTAAAAAATATTTTTATTGTCCTAGTTGGTTTGGCTCAGTGGATAGAGCGTCAGCCTGTGGACTGAAGCGTCCTGGGTTCGATTCTAGTTAACCCCTAGAGTGCCGGGGAGCGAGATCGTGCTCCTCCTGTCTTTCGCCAAAAGTGCTGGGAGCGCTATCGAGCTCCTGCTGCAGTGTCACTATTAGATGCGAGTAGTTCACTCTTTATGTGGGAAAAAAAATTTAAAAACCTTAACTCAAAATGCCTTGGCAATTTTAGCATAGTTCCTAGGATATTGGTTGGCACTCAAAGGGTTAAGGGCACATGCCTGGGTTGTGGGCTCGATCCCCATTGTATTTCAGAGAGGAGAGGAGAGGGAGAGAGAGAAAGAAAAATCAATGATGAGAGAGAATCATTGATCAGCTGCCTCCTGCACGCCCCCCAATGGGGATCGAGCCCGCAACCCAGGCATGTCCCCTGACTTGGAATTGAACCGTGACCTCCTGGTTCATAGGTTGACGCTCAGCCACTGAGCCACGCCAGTTGGGCACAGCCTATCATTTAAACCAAGACACTCAACGCAGGAGCTGCCCCTGGTGGTCTGTGTGCTCCCATAGGGGGAGCGCCGCTCAGCCACAAGCCGGGCTGACGGCTGGTGAGCACCATGACCTGCCTCAGTGGCAGCGCTAATGATGTCCGCCTGCGGCTTAGGCCCGCTCCCCACAGTTAGTCCGACATCCCTGGAGGGCTCCTGGACTTCAAAAGGGTGCAGGCTGGGCTGAAGGACCTCCCCCCGCTCCTTCCCCCCCTTCCCCCCCAGTGCATGAATGTCATGCACCGGGCCTCTAGTGTCGAATAAGAGTGGTGAACCATATCCCTGTGTGTTCCTAATCTTAAGGGAAATGCTTTTAGTTTTTGCCCATTGAGTATGATGTTGGCTGTAGGTTTGTCATATGACCTTTATTATGTTGAGGTATGATCCCTCTATTCCCACTTTGCTGAGAGTTTTTATCATAAATGAATACTGGATTTTGTCAAATGCTTTTTCTGTGTCTATTGATATGATCATATGATTTTTATCCTTCATTTTTATTTATGTGGTGTATCACGTTTATTGATTTTCGAATATTGAACCATCCTTGCATCCCCAGAATAAATCCCACTTGGTCATGGTGTATGATCTTTTTAATGTATTGCTTGATCCTATTTGCTAATATTTTGTTGAGGATTTTAGCATCTGTGCTCATCAGGGATATCGGCCTATAATTTTCTTTCTTTATAGTGTCTTTATCTGGTTTTGGGATTAGGAGAATGCTGGCCTCATAAAAAGAGCTTGGATGTCTTCCCTCCTCTTGAATTCTTTGAAATAGTTTAAGGAGGATTGGTGTTAATTCTTCTTTAAATGTTTGGTAAAACTTATCATGAAGCCATCTGATCCAGGGCTTTTGTTTGCTGGTAGTGTTTTGATTACTGCTTCAGTTTCATCAGTTGTTATTGTCTATTGAGGTTTTCTGATTCTTCCTGATTGAGTTTTGGAAGATTGTATGTTTCTAGGAATTTGTCCATTTCACCCAGGTTGTCCAGTTTGTTGGCATATAGATCTTCAAAGTATTTTCTTACAATTCATTGTGTTTCTATGATCTTAGTTGTGTTCTTGCCTCTTTCATTTTTGATTTTATTTATTTGGGTCCTCTCTTTGTTTCTTGATGAGTCTGGCTAAAGTTCCATCAATCTTGTTTATCTTTTCAACGAGCCAGCTCTTGGTTTCATTGATCATTTCTATTGGTTTTTTTAGTCTTTTTGTCATTTATTTCTGCTCTGACCATTATTATTTCCTTCCTTTTACTTACTCTGGGCTTTTTTTGTTCTCTTTCTGATTATTTTATTATGCTATTATTTAACAGCATATCAGATGTTATGTTTGATATAGTAATAAATACAATACACCCTGGTGTCCTTTAGAAGAGTGAAATATAGGTACAAACATAATTATCAAACACAGTCTAAGCACTGAAATAGAAAAATGAAGGAAGAGTTTATTAAAACACCTTGAAGTCACTAACTGCCTTACGCTACAACATTAGAGATTAAGGGGAAGGCTAAGTACACGGTTTTATTATTAAAAATACTAATATCGCCCTAGCCAGTTTTGCTCAGTGGATAGAGTGTTGGCCCACGGTCTGAAGGGTCTTGGGTTTGATTCCAGTCAAAGGCACGATCCCTGGCCCTGGTCAGGGCTGATGCGGGAGGCAACCAATCGATGTGTCTCTCTCTCTCTCATCGATGTTTCTGTCTCTGTCTCCTCCTCCCTTCCACTCTTTTTTTTTTTTTTAAATATATTTTTATTGATTTCAGAGTGGAAGGAAGAGGGAGAGAGAGAGAAACACCCATGATGAGAGAGAATCATGGATCGGCTGCCTCCTGCAAGTTCTGCACTGGGGATCCAGCCTGCAACCCCGGCATGTGCCCTTGACCGGATTCGAACCTGGGCCTTTCAGTTCGCAGGCCAACGCTCTATCCACTGAGCCAAAGTGGCTAGGGCCCTTCCACTCTTTCTAAAAATTAATGGAAAAATATTGGGTGAGGATTAACAAAAAAAAAATTTTAATGTCTAATGATGAGAGAGAATCATTTATCAGCTGCCTCCTACATGCCCCCTACTGGGGATCAAGCCTCCAACCTGGGCATGTGGCCTGACCTGGAATCAAATTGTGACCTCGTGGTTCATAGGTCACTGCTCACCCACTGAGCCACACTGGTTGGGCTAGCATGAATTTTTTATGGGAGTACTTACATACTGTTTCTGTATCCCCCAGAGGTATTTTTAAACTCACAGTTGAAAAACTAAAAGACTCAAAGCTGAAAGCATGCTACATTGGATTACCTTGATTCGTCAACTATTAACATTTAGCAACACCTCCATATCTTTCTGTATACACTAACTACACTTTTTGCCAAGCAGTTTTTGTTTGTTTGTGGTGTGTTTTGTTTTTTTTAATACATTTTTGTTGATTTCAGAGAGGAAGGGAGAGGGAGAGAGAGAGAGAAACATCAATTATGAGAGAGAATCATTGATTGGCTGCCTCCTGCACGCCCTCCAGTGGGGATGGAGCCAGCAACCTGGGCATGTGCCCTTGAATGGAATCGAACCTGGGACCCTTCAGTCTGCAAGCCCTCTATCCACTGAGCCAAACCTGCTAGGGCTTGCCAAGCATTTGAAAGTAGGTGACATAACATAACATTTCATTCCTAAATTCTTTTTTTCAGCTTTATTGAAGTATAATTGAGAAAAATTGCATATATTTAAGGTATACATCATGATTTTTGATATATGTATATATTGTGAAAGGATTACACAAGCTAATTAACATATCACTCACCTATATAATCACCCTTTTTTGTGTGTGGTTAAGGTGTATTCTTCTAGCAAATTTCAAGTGTACAATGTAGTATTTTTAATTTCGGTTTTCATGCTGTACATAAGATCTCCAGAACTTACTCATTCTGCAAAACTGAATCTTTGTATACCCTTTGGCCAACATCTCCCCATTCTCCCACCCCCTCCTGCTAACCACCATTCTGTTTTCTGCTTCTATGAGTTCAACTTTTTTTTTTTTTTACTGTCTGATGAGATTTATTTATTTATTTAGTTTAGAGAGGAAGAGAGAGGGAGAGGGAGACAGAAATATCAATGATGAGAGAGAATCACTGATCGGCTGCCTCCTGCACGCCCCACACTGGGGATTGAGCCCGCAACCCGGTCATGTGCCCTTGTCCGGAATTGAACCCGGGGCTCTTCAGTCTGCAGGCTGACGCTCTACCCAGTGAGCCAAACCAGGGCTATGAATTCAACTTTTTAGATTCTAGATATAAGTGATATCATGCAGTATCTGTGCCTGGCTTATTTTATTTCTTCCTCTAGGTTTATCCATGTTGTTGCAAATAGCAGGATTTCCTTATTTTTTAAGGCTAAATAATATTACATTTACACACACACCACACTTCCTTTTTTAAAAAATCCTTATTTGAGGACATGCTTATTGATTTGAGAAAGAGAGAGAAACATCGATTGGTTGCCTCCTGTAAACATCCCAACTAGGGACTCTAGCTAGGGATCAAACCCACAACCTTTCAGTCGGGACGATGCTCCAACCAGTTGAGCCACACAGGCCAGGACCGTAACACATTTTCTTTATACACCACATGCATTCATCCATTGACAGACAGACACTGGGTAGTTTCCATATCTTGGCTATTGTGAATAATATTACAGTGAACATGGGAATGCAGACATCTCTTTGAGATGGTGATTTCATTTTCTTTGGTTATATACTTAGAAGTGGGATTGCTAGATTATAAGGTAGTTCTACTTTTAAGTTTTTGAGGAATCTCCATATTGATTCCCATAATGGCTGCACCAATTTACATTCCCACTAGTAATGTACAAGGGTTTCCTTTTTTTTACATTCTTGCCAATACATATTTTTTGTCTTTCAAAAAATATATATTTTTATTGATTTCAGAGAAGAAGGGAGAGAAACATTGATGAGAGAGAAACATTGATTGGCTGCCTCCTGCATGCCCCCTACTGGGGATCAAGACTGCAACCTGGACATGTGCCCTGACCAGGAATCGAATGGTGACCTCCTGGTTCATAGGTGGATGCTCAACCACTGAGCCACACCAGCTAGGCTATTTTTTTTTCTTTTTGATAGTA